AGTGAAAAAACCCAAAAAATTGTCAAAGGCCAAAGCCCCAACAGAAAACCTCTTTCTAGTCTCCACTTCTGCCCGTAAATTGATTCATTCACGTAAAAATCCCAATCTCGATTTCACCGTCAACTAACATTTCTCCAATTTACTCTTCCTCTTACCTTTGAGAGAGATCGCCATGTTTATGCTTATAAATTGCTCCAACTGCCGGACCCCATTGCAGCTGCCTCCGGGCGCCCGATCCATCCGGTGTGCAATTTGCCAGGCCGTGACTCAAATCGCTGATCCACGCGCCGTCAATCCTCCGCCGGCTACTCATCATTGGCCGCCTCCGGGTCCTCCATCCTCCGCCTCTCCTTCGCCGTATAACCACGCCCCTCCTGGCCCTCCGCCCAACCCGCACGGCCGGAAGAAGGCCGTGATCGTCGGCATATCTTACAGGTACTCGAGGCACGAGCTCAAGGGGTGTCTCAATGACGCCAAGTGTATGCGCTACCTTCTGATCAACAAGTTTCAGTTTCCAGAATCTTCCATTCTTATGCTCACAGGTACTACAGTATTTATGTATGTTGATCAATCACATACATACATACATTTTTATATGTCTATGAAACTTTGATTTGCTCAATTTTATATTTTTATATTAAAAGAAAAGAAAATTGTGAATTTTGGTTTGTTCATCACTTCTGCTGTCCCGTTATTATTTTCTTCTTTATTGGGAAGGAAATTGTAAAGCTGTGGAGTTTGGAAGTTCCAAGGCTGCTTGTTTTTGTCATCCATTGTTATGGTATTGGTCTATGTCTAATTTTCTTTCATTTGTTTTGTTTGAATCACCTCTGCAGAAGAAGAGACTGATCCCTATAGAATTCCTACCAAATACAATATGCGAATGGCCTTATATTGGCTTGTGCAAGGATGTCAACCCGGAGATTCCTTGCTCTTTCACTATTCTGGGCATGGCTCGAGGCAAAGGAACTACAATGGTGATGAAATTGATGGATATGATGAAACATTATGTCCTCTGGACTTTGAAACTCAGGGAATGATAGTTGATGATGAAATTAATGCAACAATTGTCAGACCTCTTCCTCATGGAGTTAAGCTTCATGCTATAATAGATGCTTGCCACAGTGGAACTGTCCTGGACTTGTCATTTCTTTGTAGAATGAACAGGTAGTTGACTAACTTCTTAAATTGATGTTATTCATTTTCTGCCTATGAATTTTTGCACATTAATACTCTTAATAGAAGCACAAATGAGATTCTACAAGGAGTTGGGTTATTTTGATTGAGTGTTTACTATATTATCTACCCTTTTTTTCGTCTTTTCTGAAGGGTAGCTTTTGTATAAATATGGTGTTGGAGCTCTCTTTACTGTCAAGTTAAAGTCTAGATGAAGTACACCTGAATGGTGTTAAAATCAATGATACAACTTTACACATGCTTTGTACCTAAGAGGGTAGACAATAAAGTGAAGTGAAGGCTCATATGTTTCCCAAAAAAATAAGTTACTGTTATATTCACCCCATGCCATTCATGATTCTCATAAAACCTTACAAGGTTACTTAATGGGAGTCAAGTTTTCTTCAAGAAATGAACAAATTCAATATGGCATCTAATGCATATATCATGTACTTGATGGATTAAATTAGAGTTAATTCCATTTTTGGTCTTAGATTTATAGGTGCCACTGTGGCAGTCCACTTTTAGTCCTTTTCTAGAACATCCTTCTTTGGTCGTAGTGTTATTGTGGTATGACCATTTTTGGTCTTCCACTCTTCCGTCAACAAAATCGTCCAAATGTCCTTAAATACAAGGACATTTTTTATTTTTGATTTTTATTTATTTATTTATTTTTTTTTTTTTATAAAAAGTGGGTTGACCCGTTATATTTTTATTAAAAAAAAATCAAAATTGAAGACCTAAATGCCCTTGTATTTTACGAAATTCAAACAATTTTGTTGATGGAGGACCAAAAATAGTATGCCACAATAATTCTTGGACCAAAAAAAAAAACTAAAAGTGGATTGTCACCTATAAATCTAGGATCTAAAATGGAATTAACTCATTAAATTATTTCTATTTACAATATACTCTGTAAGTAATTTGTTAATTCATCCCCTGCTACTTGAATGATGGGTACTAAGTATGTACCATACTTCCATCTGTCTTGGAAGGAACATTGGAATTCTTTCTTATTTTATCTTCTCATAGTTTTGCTTCCAACTTGTTCCATTGATTTACTTCTTTCTCTTGCCAATAGGAGTGGTCAATATTCGTGGGAGGACCATCGTCCACGTTCAGGTATTATGAAAGGAACTAGTGGAGGTGAAGCTATTTCTTTCAGTGGTTGTGATGATGACCAAACTTCAGCTGATACATCTGTAAGTTTTCTAAATTGGACTTACATGAGAAGTTGGTGCTTAGTGTAAGACGATAAGATTAAAGAAAATTGTTTTGGTGTTTAGGCTCTATCAAAAATAACCTCAACGGGTGCCATGACATTCTGCTTTATTCAAGCTATTGAGCGTGGGCATGGAAGAACATATGGTAGCATATTGACTGCAATGAGGGCAGCAATTCGAGAGGCAGGAGGTTCCGGAGGTGACCTTGGTGGTGGTGTTGTCACATCTCTCCTCACCATGCTTGTGACAGGTGGTAGTGGTATTGGTGGTGGATTTAGACAGGTAAACTATATAAATATTGTTCTGACTTTGTCTTTCTGAAGTGTCCTACCCCTTGCTCATTCAAACTTCGATTTAAGATTGGAGACATTCACTCTAGTTATGAAGTCATTATCTGTTAATAAAATATATAAGAGTTGATGTGTATTATTGCATTGCAATATATTTGGTAATGTGTATCTCGCTTGAGTTTTTAACATTATGCTCGTGATCTTGTTGTTACAGGAAAAAACATAAATGAGGTTCTTTGATAAGTAGAAAAAACATATGTGAATCAGTATAGTTAACATGGAGGAATAAATTAATTTATGTGATTATTAACTTAACTATTTAAAGTTGTTATGTTAACAAATGCCATTTAGTAATGGTTCATAAATAGTATTCATACAAATCCATAAAATTATCAGGACGTTTAGGGTCATATTTCCACCTACTGTTAGTTTTAAGGCACCAAATTTGGAACAACTCCACTACTTAGTTCCCCAGGACCCCACCATCCACATTGAACATCTGAACTATTTTCTGCTGCTGCAGAAATGCATATTACACTGTATTAGCTAAATGTATATTTCAGTCATATATAGACCGAAATTGCATGTATGGCCAAGATGGCTAAGGATACAAACTTGTAACCACAAGGTCACGAGTTCGAATCATTGCCTTCTTGGTTTGAGCCGGTCAGCTATGGGCAACTTATGCTGGTTTACCTTCTTGTGGCCCTTTCTGACTAGGATCACAAGGTGGGATTTACCCAGTGCACATCTCGGGTAGTGGCTGCGGAAAAAAATTGCATGTATGGACTTGATGTCTTCATTGTTTTGGATTGCATCTGATCCTCTAACGTTTCTTTTCTGTTGCATTTGCTAACAGGAGCCGCAGTTGACTGCTTGCCAGCCTTTCGACGTGTATGCAAAGCCATTCTCCTTGTGAAATTGACTCAGTTTACTTTAGTGTTTATGTTTGTGGTGGGCAGGGTGGTGGTGGTGGTGGTGGCGGGGTGTTGTGAGCTTTCTCTTGTGGCCGTTGTTTATAATACAAAGGATTTTCACTTATTGTTGTGGAATTATAGTTCTTTCATTTCTTTCTATTTAAAGGAAACTTTAATAATTAAAAAAATAACTATTTGTTAATTTACCTGTTATTGCCAGTATTTTTTCGGTGCAATGCACAAGTGTATATACATTCTATATATTGATCCGAATTCCTATCATACTTTTTTTTTTTTTTTTTAAATGTTTACGATAATGTAAAATTGGGAATATTTACTCTATTGGTTATTTAGATCAATTTTTTTTTTTTAATAAATGTTTTATGAATTAGTTTTAAAATGACAGAACCTCCAAATTCAAATACAAATTAAATGCTAAAGGATTCGATAAAAAAAAAATATTTATTGATTTTATATGGAAGCATCTGTTATTTTGTCAAAGTTTACCAAAAGAGGCATACTCGTTAGGCAGAAAGTTATTTTCGTTGCAAATATTCCGTAATTATAGTCATAATAAATAAGAGGGTATCGTAGTTTATTTCATCTATAATCTTTCTTTTCATTTTGATCATCAATTTTAATTTATAGTATTTTTTTATTTTTCAATTTTAAAATAGTGTTTTACTTTTGGTCTAAAATATTTCTTAAAAAATTAGGGAAAATATTATGAAGTCAAAGTATTTTGCATATTTTAAACTAAACATACAAGAATATAACAAATTATAAATGAGAATTAATGATAAAAGAAATTATTGTCATTAAGAAATAAAAAGTGAAATAAACTCATGTTTCTCATAATTTCGATTAATAAATTCTAAAAGTAGGAGTACGATGTGTGATTTTTACCTAAGAGCACGTGCCTAATTCGGATAGATGAGATGATGAATCATTCTATTTTAACTCTCCTAAAAAACCTATTTCTTGACCATCTCCCCATGTTTTGTAGTTCAATTTGTTACCATCATTAATAAATAAATAAAAGAATTTAGAAAAATAGAAAAAAATATATATATACACACAGAGAGTCAGAGACACATACTAATTTCTCTCTGTGTGTAGATCTCTAGCTATAACATACTAACATAGTGCCGACTCATTCTGTTTTAACTCTCTATTTTATTTATAAAGAGATAATCTGATAATTAATTCAAATCAAAACTATTTTCATTAATTCTGACTTAGCTGTTTTAACTCTCCTAAAAAAACTATTTTGACCATCTCCTGCTTTGTAGTTCAATTTGTTACCATGAGAAAATAAAAAATAAAAAAAAGAATTTAGGAAAAATAGAAAAGAAGAATATATACACAGAGAAAGACACATATTCATATTTTTATTCATATAAGCTTAAACTCGCTATCTCTCTCTCTCTCTAAATTTATCTCAGTAATTTCTCTCTCCGTACGTCTCTCGCCAGAACATAAAGCTCTCTGTCTGTATCAGTGCGGTGGTGGTGCTCATGGTTCCCGCCAATCGCCACTCTCATTGAAACCCTAGTTTCTTCATCGCTCCCATTAATCTTCGTTTCAGGTAACTCATCGAACTCCGGGGAAAAAAAATTGAAAAATTTTGTTAATTGGATTTTTCTGTTTATATTGCGGTGTCAGTGGTGTTTATTTATTATTATTGTTTTTTTTTTTTTTTGGTGTTTTTGATTTTTAAAAAAATATATTTTCGATGGAACCTGGACGTTGATTGAATCGATCGGTGGATCTGTGTGTGCAGAAAAGATAGCGGTTTTTAAGGGTTTGGATATATGTCCCAAAATCAATACAGGAAGACCGGCCGACCCGTTAACTTCAATCAGCACCGCGGCGGTAAAAGCGGTGGTGGAGGGGGTAGCTCCGGCCCTCCTCCTAATCCCTCCTTGTCATCCAATAGAAGGTAACCCTGACTTTCTTGTTTTTATGCGATTTTGTGTGTGCAATTAATTCAGGATATGGTGCATTGTGCTTGTATTTGTTTGGAGAAGTTAGGGTTTCTGTGAAGATTACACTGTTCAGTGACTAGCTCCTAATTGTTTGATATTTATACTTTTTTCATCAGCTTCAATAGGAAGTATAATAATGCACAAGGAGGGCAACCTAGGGCAAGTGGCCTGAATGCTACTTCAGAGGGTAATGCTCCATCTGCAACTCGAGCAGTGCAGAATGGTGCTCACCAGCAACCGCCATTATCTGGTATGTGATGTTATCCATCTCTTTCCCAAAAAATAAATGAATGAATTCTGAGAAAATCACTGTTTATCCTGTAAGAGGTCAGCCTGGGGGTGGTGAGTGAGGGGATGATTAGTAAGATTTGTATAATGTGAGGAATGTCAGAAGAAGGTTATTCACTCATTGTGATCACATTTTTTGGTTAATGGGGATGGGTGGAATTTTGATGTTTTTGTTAACTACAACTACCATGTAGGTTTCTACCCTTATTGTTGTAATTTTTATTTCAGGAGTGTCAGATTTACCTGTTACATCTGCAAGTATACCTGCTTCAATTACTCCTTCTAAGCCCGCTGATGAGGCAACACAAAAAATGGCTCGAACTGTGCCAATAGCCCCATTGTCTAATGTTGACCCTACTGGTCCCGACTCAAATACAGCAGTTGCTCCTCCCAAAGGTGTGCTCCATAGGACATGATTTGTTACATATTTTATATGATTGAATTTATTTCCTTTAGGTGGATAATAATAAATCATATTTGCCTCTGTCAAATAATTTCCTTTTCAAGTTTCGACAATCAGTTGATACTGTTACTATTTTCTGATGGTTTAGCTCCAGGAGATGTATCTAGGTCCTCTTTCCCTTTGCAATTTGGCACAATAAATCCTTGTTTTATGAATGGGATGCAGGTATTAATAAGTTTCATGTGGTTTGATATTTTTGTTAATTTGAATTCTCTCCTGAAAATTTCTTCATGTTGTGACTGTAGGTACCTGCTCGAACAAGCTCAGCCCCACCAAACTTGGATGAGCAGAAACGTGACCAGGTATGACCCTTTGTTGCTCTTCTCCTTGTTTGACAGTGAATTTATATAACTTCACATCTGCATGGCAGAGGTCTAGATAATAATACAAATAACAATCATCATCATCATTTTATTATTTTGATAAGTACAGAGCTGTATATTAATTGCCATCATATTGCAATCTCTAGAGTAAGTTTTAGTAAGAGATATAATACTTATCTCTTGAAAGCTGAGTCTACTTTAGTCATTGTCATTTGATGTTAAATTATCTTTTGCCATTTAATGTCAGTTCATTCCCAAATACCTTGTCATATGGGAATTAATAATTGAATTGCTTTAGAGGAACATATGAGTTTTGTTTTGGTAAATATCTAAAATTTAGACTGCATGTTCGAAGCTGAGATTGTACTTCTTTTTTCCCTTCACTGAATACTTATCTGGCAGGTTCGCCATGACTCTTCAAGGGCTGTACCTGCGCTGCCAACTCCATCATTGCCTTCCAAGCAATCACTGCCAAGAAAGAATACAGGGACAGTTGACCAAGCTAGTACTGGTGAGGCTCATCCTGTAGTGGCCAGGTCCAAGAGGGATGTGCAAGTTTCAGCTCCATCCCCTGTGACCCAAAGTCAAAAGCCTTCTACTCATCCTTTGCCAGGAATGCCTATGCAAATGCCATTTCACCCTCCTCCTCACCCTGTTCAATTTGGTCCACAAATTCAATCTCAGGGCATGTCAGCAGCATCTTTGCCTATTCAAGTGCCAGTGCCCCTACTTGGGAATCCCCCTTTGCAGCAGCCAATGTTTGTCTCTGGTTTTCCACCTCACCCAATACCATCTCAAGGAATCATGCACCAAGGACAAGGTTTAAATTTTTCATCTGGAATGAGTCCTCAGATGCCTCCACAGTTGGGAAATATGGGAATGAATATGCCTCCACAATTTCCTCAGCAGCAGGCTGGAAAATTTGGAGGTACTCGCATACCTGTAAAGATTACTCATCCAGAAACACATGAAGAATTGAGACTTGATGGAGCACCTGGTCCAAGGCCACATCCTAATATGCCACCTCAGTCACAGTCTCTATCCTCATTCCCACCTACTCATTCTATTAATTATCACCCTAATTCATATAATAACAACAGCTCTGTCTTTTTCCAACCTTCAAATTCTCTTCAACCTAATAACACACAGAGTTCTCAGCCTGCAAGGCATTATAATCAGGTCAGCAGCCCTTCTAATTGTACCAGGAGCTCTGTTTTATATTTTTACAAAAAATAACATTTATCAAGGCATTGGCTAATAAATAAACTTGTAATGGTGTTGCATGATATTATCTCCTTTATGAATTCTGATGCAGGTGACAGTAAAACCAGCTTCTGTTGTGTACGGAGAAAAAGACCAGTTACCTTCAGTAAGTTCACCCACTGCAAAGGATTCACAGAAACACTCAAAGCTCCATGGAGCAGCTTCAATTCACCCCCAAAGAGATTCTCAGATGTCTTCTCAGAATTCTGTGCCTCAGTCAAAACCTGGTGATGGGTCACTGCCTTCATCAGTTCCTGCAGCTAGTAAGCCATCCACTGTAGTTGTAGGTTCTTCTCTGGAAGGTGCACCATTGTGTTCATCTTCATCAAAGACAGCATTGGTTGAGAGTTCTACATCAGTGCCAATTGGCACCACTGAAGAAGCATCAGTCCCCGACTCCAAAGATTGGCAGAAAAAACAAGGCCATAGAGGGCCTCAATCCACGCAGGATCAGGTACTTTGTTGCCTTCTTTTTAATAATCTCAGTTTTGTGGCAGCTCTTAGTAATTAATTTTTATTGCTTTGAGTTTTTCAGATTGCCAAACAATCTTTAGTTTCGCCTTCTCTGTCACCAGTAACCAGAGAGGTTGATATGCCTGCTTTGGCGACTAGTGTCAATCTGGAAACTACTAGGGAACCATCATCCATACATTCTACTGACTTGGATACTATTGATGCTAAAACCAAGGAGGGACAAACACAATATTCTTCCAATCCTTCTGGCACTTTGAGTCTTGAAGGTGACCCTCCAATGCCTGAAACCTTGAGTAAAAATGACAAAGACTTGAAGTTGCAAAAGAGTCTCAAACAAGATAGCAACACTTTTGGAGCTTCTTCAGAATCTGTTTCCTTCAAGGCTTCTGAACTTATCAATCAAACTGAAGAGTCCTCTTTACAGAGAGTTACTAATTCCATTGATTGTGGCACTTCAGTAGAAACTACACTGAAAAAGTTTGATGAATCTGCCATAGGTTCAGTTGAAGGTGATAACAAGGATCATAGTTTGTCATCATCCCTTTCAGTGATAAATGATGTGAAACCTGAGGATAGCCCATCATTAGTAGGTCTATCTGCTCGTGGTGGTCATGTGGCCAGTAAAGAAACTGATGTCTCGACATCTGCTACTGGAAATCAGGAATCTGATCCTCGGTCTTGTCAATCTCTTTCCATGACAACATCAAAAGGTGAAGATGAAAATACTGAAAGTAATACTGCTGGTTCCTTTGCCAAGGAGAAGTCTCTGACAGAGCAGAATATGCAAAAAAGTACCACTAGAGGAAAGAAAAAGAAGAAAGAAATATATAAAAAGGCAGATGCTGCTGGTGCAACTTCTGATCTTTATATGGCATATAAAGGTCCAGAAGAAAAGAAAGAAACTGCCACATCTGCAGAAAGTATGGATAGCACCACTAGTGATGGTTCAAAACCAGTCACCCCTGAAGTTGTGCAAGATGTGTCAAGCAAGAAAGGCACCCAGATCAAAGTAGAGCCTGATGATTGGGAAGATGCTGCTGATGTTTCTAGTCCAAAGTTGGAAACTGCAGAAAATGGACAGCGAGTTATTCAGGGATTTAAGAATTATGGTGAAGATGGTGATGGAACTGGAACCAAGAAATACTCAAGAGATTTCTTACTTAAATTTGCAGATCAATATATCGATCTTCCAGAGGATTTTGATAATAACACTCCTGATATATTGGAGTCAGGGATGGTTGCTAATGTGAATTTTTCACGTGAGTCTTACCCAAGTCCTGGTAGGGGACCTTCTGGTGTGTCTAGATCAGACCGTCGTGGAGGTGGCGTGGCAGATGATGACAAATGGAATAAACTGCGTGGATCTGCTATGGCTGGGAATATGCGGCTGGACTTGCCTTATGGTGGTAATCTTATGGGATTCCAACCTGGCCAAGGAAGTAACTATGGTGTTTTGAGGAACCCTCGTTCACCATCACCAATTCAATATGCCGGTGGCATCCTTGCAGGGCCAATGCAGTCCATGGGTCCTCCAGGAGGTCTGCAAAGAAATGGTGTTGATGCTGATAGGTGGCAGAGGGCTAGTGCATTCCAAAAGGGGTTAATTCCTTCTCCTCAGACTCCTTCACAAATGATGCACAAAGCTGATAGGAAGTATGAAGTTGGTAAGATTACAGATGAGGAGGAAACGAAACAGAGACAATTAAAAGCAATTTTGAACAAGCTTACTCCACAAAACTTCGAAAAATTATTCCAGCAAGTTAAAGAAGTAAATATTGATAATGTAACAACGCTTACTGGTGTTATTTCACAAATTTTTGATAAAGCTCTGATGGAACCAACTTTTTGTGAGATGTATGCCAACTTCTGTCATCACCTTGCTTCAGAGCTACCTGATTTGAGTGTAGACAATGAAAAGATCACTTTTAAGAGGCTGCTTTTGAACAAGTGTCAGGAAGAATTTGAGAGGGGAGAACGAGAGGAACAGGAAGCTAATATAACTGATGGGGATGGTGAAACTAAACTATCAGATGAAGAGAGAGAGGAGAAAAGACTAAAAGCTAGGAGACGGATGTTGGGAAACATCAGACTGATTGGAGAGTTGTACAAAAAGCGTATGTTGACAGAGAGGATTATGCATGAATGCATCAAAAAGTTGCTAGGTGAGTATCAGAATCCTGATGAGGAAAATATTGAAGCATTGTGTAAGCTAATGAGCACAATTGGGGAGATGATAGATCATCCTAAAGCCAAGGAGCATATGGATTTTTATTTTGAAATGATGTCAAATTTGTCAAACAACATGAAACTCTCATCTAGGGTAAGGTTTATGTTGAAGGATGCAATTGATTTGAGGAAGAATAAATGGCAGCAGCGAAGAAAAGTTGAAGGACCAAAAAAGATTGAGGAAGTGCATAGGGATGCTGCTCAGGAACGGCAAGCGCAAGCTGGTGGTGGTAGAATGTCTCGTACTTCTAGCATGAGTTCTTCTGTTAGAAGGGGTCAAGCAATGGACTTTGTTCCCAGAGGTTCAAGTATGTTACCTTCTCCAAACTCCCAGATGGGTGGTTTCCGACCTGTGTCCCCGCAAATACGGGGTTATGGTGGTCAAGATGTTCGGACAGATGAGAGACAACATTCTTTTGATAACAGGACTTTTTCAGTTCCTCTGCCACAGAGATCCCTTGGTGATGAGATCACCCTTGGACCCCAGGGTGGTCTTGGAAGGGGAATGTCTTTTAGGGGACAGGGAGCTGCACCAAGCATCCCTTCCACAGATATGCCAAGTCCAGGTGATTCGCGAAGAGTTTCATCTGGTCTAAATGGCTATAGTCCTATGCCAGATCGGTCAACCTATGGCCCAAGGGAGGATCTCGTCCCAAGGTACATGCCAGATAGATCTAGTCAATATGATCAGCCTGGTACACAAGACCGGAATATGCCTTATGGTAGTAGGGATCGCAGTTTTGATACAGCTGTTCCCACATCGCCTCCTTTCAGAGGTGGAGGGGCAAGCTTTACGCAGAATGTTCCTTTGGATAGTGCATTACCAGAAGAACACTTGCGAGACAAGTCCTTGAATGCTATTAGAGAATTCTACAGGTATTACATTGTGCTAATATTCAGTGTCAGATATACATTGTACTTAATCCTTTTATTCTTTGGTTTTTACCCTAACAACATATTTGATTATCTAACTATGAATTAACAAGAGCTCTCTGTCTCTCTAATGGCAGTGCTAGAGATGAGAATGAAGTTGCCTTATGTGTGAATGAACTTAATGCTCCAAGCTTCTATCCTTCAATGATTTCTATTTGGATCACGGATTCTTTTGAGAGAAAGGAAAAGGAGAGGGATCTTTTGGGGAAACTACTTGTCAATCTAGCCAAATCTGGAGATGTTATGTTAAGTCAAGATCAACTTATTCAAGGGTATGGTATTTATTATTGTTTTTGAGTGTGAGAGGAAATATGAATAATAGTGAGTTTATGTAAGTAATTGTTGGTGTGTTGGCAGGTTTGAATCTGTTCTGAGTAGCTTGGAGGATGCAGTAAATGATGCTCCTAAAGCAGCAGAGTATCTGGGTCATCTTTTTGGGAGAGTGATAATAGAAAATGTGATTCCATACAACGCAATCGGGCATTTAATATATGAAGGCGGGGAGGAGCAAGGACGGTTGCTAGAGATAGGGCTTGCTGCAGAAGTTCTTGGAAGCACATTGGAAGTGATAAAGTCAGAGAAAGGTGATTCTGTATTGCATGAGATATGTAGAAGCAGTGACCTGGTGCTAGAAAACTTCCGGCCTCCTGGATCTAACAAGCAATGGAAACTAGACAAGTTTATTTAGGTGAGGAAGATGGATAGAGAGAGATATATTGAGATTGATTGTATTTGGTAGAAAGGCTGCTTAGTTCGTTCGTCACGCTTATCTTTTTCACAAATATAATTTTGATTTTGAATCGGGAATTTTTATGCTGCAGCAGCAGGGTTTGTCCTGTGTTGGATGCTTTCAATATTATGATTATTATTTGGTTTAAAAAAGTGGGAAAAGTTAAGTTGAGCTGCTTTCTGGTGTTCTGGAGGAGGGATTTTGGTTTTAAATGTAGTTGCTTTCTTGTTTACTGCAAATTTTTTTAGTTTCCCATTTTATTTTAATTACTGTAGTAGTATATAGTGGCAGGCCGGAGAATGAATTCCTTTGAATTCAACGCTGGGTCTCTCTCTGACGGATTTCTTTCTCAATCCCCAAACTTGCCTTCTCCAAACTTGATTTCCATATCTCTCAATCTTCACCATTTTACATTCCCCAACTTTTTATTAATGGAGTTTGGGTTCCCCAATTCTTGCTACTTTTTAGTCCCATCATCCACGTGATAACCATTCAGCTCAAGAAATGACCTAAATTACCTTTGACTAAACTCTAATCGCTGCCCAATTACCATTGCCACCGTTTGAGTCCATTAAAAAAAAAAAAAACTAATAATATAAATTAGCAAACCAAATAATAAAATTCATAACTTACTATCACCAAACCATTATAAATAGGAATAAGGTTTAAATTGGCCACTGAACGTAACCTGAAAATGCAATTAGACCACTGAACGAAAAAAAAGTGCAATTAGGCCATTGAACACTCAAAAAATGTGCAATATTATGCCACTGAATTCTCCAAACGTATGTAATTTTACCGGATAGTAGGTTACCATCAATTTTAGCAGGTTACCTGCTTACGTGGCAGCTTAGTTGGCATTTTTAATAATTAATTTTAATAATAAATTTTATAAAAAATTGGAAAAAAATAAATAAAAAATAAAATAAAGTCGTTTTTATTTTTTAAAACATTTTTTTAATAAAATTTATTAAAAATTAATTAAAATTTATTAAAAATGCCAACTCAGCTGCCACGTAAGCAGATAACCTGTTAAAATTGAGGGTAACATGCTATCAGGTGAAATTGCACATTTTTGTAGTGTTCAGTGGCCTAATTGCACTTTTTCTTCGTTCAGTGGCCTAATTGCATTTTCAGGTTACGTTCAGTGGCCAATTTGAACCTTATTCCTTATAAATATAAGGATCTAAATGACATTCAAGAAATGACAAATTATACCGTAGATAGGTTTACATGTCAAGGTAGACCAATAATATACATGTTTGTTTTTAATGTATTGTAGATTCATCTTTAGGTAGTATACTAAAAATAGACTTGCTACTCATTAAAAATAAACTTTTAATATACTAAAAACGAACCTTTTTATTTCATCTTGCAATATAGATCATGGTCAACCTTGTCAAAAAACACATCCATTGGGAAACAAGATGAGGAAACTATTTTGTTGGGATTATTATTCATTTAGAATGATAACAAATGTATCATCACACTATATAGTAGACATTTAATTACATTTTATTTATCTAGAATCCAAGATTTTTTTTTTTCTTTTTATTTAGCAAAACAATCTCTTCATTTAATGCCTCCAAACAGAATTTGGTATTAATGAATTCACAAATCCATAATCATAACGATCACGAAAATGCACAGAATTACAATTAATATCTCCCAGCCTCTTCCAACCAAAAAAAAAAAAAAAAAGTGTAAAGACTACGTGCAACGTGGAATTATAGTCAAGATTCCTTCAACAGTAAAGCTTGATTGACTCTTGTTTAGAATATATAAGAGTTAATACTCATTTTGATTTTTTGACTATTAAATATAGTGTAATTTAGTCACAAATTTTGTAAATTACGTTGACTAAAAAAAATCACACTTAATTTAGCCCTCTGTTAAAAAAGCCATCCAAACACTATTAATTTGATGTGCAAAAAATGTCAATTAACGTTCTAATACCCGTTCCTCAACCCTTTCCTCGCGTAATCACCCTTCCGCTGATCTAAATATCTAATATGCCCCATGACCTCTGAAAAACAGCAAAAGTGGGCCTTAAGTAATTAATTAATTTTTATAAGTCTTCTTTATATGGTATGTGTTCCAATATATTCTAACATGTAAAAAATAATATAAGTGGGTTACTGAATTTTTTGATTATTTTCCTATACATTTGATTCATTTGGTATGACTCTAAGGCAATTGTTATACCATGTATTAGGCCTAATGTTGCATTGTGAATCTTAGTTCAAAAAGTATGTGTGTCTGCAATTAATTGATTATATACCTATAGTTAATAATTTCTGCACCTATAAACAAATTAAAAATACATATAACATGATAATTGTAAACACATAATAGGATAGCTACAAACACATAATTGTTAACTACAGACACATAAGATGTTGGTTAACATGTTGTGTCTGCAGTTAACAGTTTGTGTCTTTAGTTATCATGTTATGTGCCTGTAATTACCATGTGATGTAACTTCAATTTGTTTACAGGTACAGAAACAGTTAACTGCATGTACAAAATGTGTCATCCACCGATACATAATCTGAAGGTTATTTTTGAACCAGGGTCCACAATACAAGGTAGACCCTGATCCATGGTATAATTTGTCATTGTAAGGTGTTATTAATGCCTAGTCCTTTTCAGCCCCAGTTTGGTGCTCGTAAGACCTTAGAGCAACCTTATCAGCAAATATTTGTGGGGAGAATGTTAGATTAAATCTCTTTGCTCAAGATCATAGCTAATGTGGGGAAGAATTAATTGTGAAAGAATTGCCCTGCAAATGCCAAAAATAATGTCAGAAAAGCAAAATGAAGAAGGAAAGGTGTTGTGTGCGTTTCGCGCACAGCACCTGCCCATACGGGCGCGTCAGGCGCACATGACACTGTTTATATATATATATATATATATATATTTTAAATCAATTTTGTTTTTTTTTTTCTCTCCCCTCCCATCTTTTCTTTCCTATTCACTCTTACAATAACTCCACCATTGTGTATTTGTGGATGCTCTTAAGGAAGTGTTTGGTTGGATGGAAAACATTTTCCAAGGAGGTGTTTTTCAGTTCATGGAATTCATTTTTCAACGTTGAGGAAAATAAATTCTGAGCAAAGGGGTGGAATTTTGTTTTCCGCAGGGGTTGGGGAAAATATAACATTGTTTGACCATTTTTGTTTTTTAATTTTTTACTTTTTTTTTAATTCATGTATTTATTTATAATAAAAATATTTTTAATTTTGAATAAATAAATTATATAAATTATTAAAAACAATTCTAATTATATAATATGAGGGACAAATGTACCACATTATGAACAATTAAAGGGTTAGATTTGTTCAAATCAATTGACATGGATTAAATTTCCAAAGGTAAAACAATTGAGGGGCTAAAAGCGACGTTTTCCCTTCTATTTATTCATTCATCTTTTTAAGGGCATATTAATCTTTATTTTTATTATTCCTTACTTTTCTAAACCCAACCAAACAATGGAATCCCTATTCCCAATAAATTATTTTCTACCAACCAAACAATGAAAACCATATTCCTAGTATTTTATTTTTTATGAAATTTCAATTTCATTCCTCCTAAAATAAATTTTTTTTTTTTTTGGTGAATCAAACATGCCGTAAATGCCTGGGAAGTGAATTTTTTTAACACACTTGATTCAATTATTATTTATTAATATATTAATATATTATTATATTTTTCCAGTTCCGTTAATGTTGCCAAGAAGCTATGGGGTAATGCTTGTATTTTTGCTGATATGATGCACTTTACTTTATGCTTGTATTTAGGTAAAAATATTATTAAAAAAAAAAACAAAAACAAAAGTTAAGCAATAACTTTTAGGAGGTTTCTGAAAGGTTAAACTGTAATTTTGGAAATTTTAATTTTTAATATTGATTGACTTATCATGATTGGTCACAAAAGTTTGACGCAAAAAGCATGCCAATTTGTTTTATTGTTTTGTTTTTTGAAGTTTTACGAGGCAAGTTTCTATTTTTTTTCAATCGGTCTAAGAATCACAAGGGGCAACTCTCATGGATACTTAAATTTAAAATCCTATAATTATCAAATTAATTGGAATTGTCCCATGTAATGCGGTTGTTATACCGTGAACAATGGTCCACAGAGTTTTATGAATCATGGCCCGAAAACGGCGTTGTTTCATTAAGTAAAGAAATGATAGCCGTTAATTTTTAACAAATCTCATATTTTTTGAGTGTTCATAACAAAATGAAACTACACTGTATCTAAAATGAAATTGCATCGCATATTGTGTTTATATTATCAAATGAAACTGTAATTGAATTGAAATGATACTTTAGTTGTGTTGAAATGAAAACTTCAGTATGTATAAAAAGAAATTGAATAACATGTCTCACATATTGAGTATATATTGTCAAATAAAACTGTAATTATATCAAAATGATAGTATAGTTGTGTTGTAATAAAATTATAGTTTATATAAAATGAAACTGAATAACAGTTTCACATACATATTTGAGTGTAAATTGTCTAATAAAACCATAGTTGAATTAGAATTATAATTTAGTGGTGTTGTAATAAGACTACATTGTGTATAAAAGGAAATTCAATAACATGTCTCGCTGTAATAAGACTATTATATGTATAATGTCGAATGAAACTATAGTTGAAACAAAATGAAACTATAATTGTGCCGAAATGAAACTACAATATATATAGAATGAAATTGAATATGTTATACAAACAAATTAAATCTAATTACACGAAACAGGTACCGTGTATTTTCATTAATATAAACGACACCGTTTTGAATCATGGTCCACGATGTTGTGTCCACCATGGTACAAAGAAAAATTTGCCCATGTAATGATGTCCGATGGCCCCTCCACTGAAATGTAATTTTTCAACAAAAAGTATAAATTTAGGGACGTAGGAAGTGGTCCATCACAGCTCGTATCTGTATTTTGTATTTAGTGCAAACAAGTACGTACATTAAAGTGTTATTTATTGAACACAAATACGGAGTATCATTTACTGTGTTTGTCCAGTATATATATATATATATATATATATATATATATATATATATATATATAGAGTAAGGTTCAAGTGGGCAATGTTCTTAGGTGCTGCAGTGTGACGTCACTAATAGTTCAACAAATATACACCATTAATGTTAAAAAAATGCACCACAAAAATATACATAAATTAGATACGCATCTCCAAAAACACACCATTAGATGTGAGTAAAAACACTATACAGTGTTTGAAAATATACCATTAGGGATGGTGAATTATATGGTGTATTTTTTTATATATTTTTTTTTTTTAATATTTCATTGTGGTGTGTTTCTCTTACACTGTTGGTGCATGTTGTTAACACTGTTAGTGTATTCTGAAATTTCGCCGCACCTAAGGATATCGCCGCATTTGAACTTATATATATATATATCATTTACTGTGCACTGCCCTGCCCTACAGGCTACAGGACAAGCACAGCACACCTTCTCCCAAATCCATTTTTGCATCCCAAAGACCCAAACCCCAACCCCTGCAAACACTTCTTCCAAAGTTATTATTTACAGAATCACCATAATATCAAAGGAAAAATGACATTTTTCTCCTTGAATTATAGATTTATAGTGTTTTCTTCTCTTAAGTTATTCATGTATTTATATTTATCCTCTTAATTATTTTAAAAGTGACAAATTTCCATCTTTTGATGTTAAATGGATATTTTTACACATAAAAAATTAGCTCATTTATTTTTTGCTTCTCTAACAAATTATTACTTATATGTAGGAATGACTATGGTTCGATTTGAACCGAATCGGATACTAGCAACTGAACTGAAACAGTATGGATGATTATTGTTACGATTTAGAATTGAAATATTTTTTATTGACTTTAGACTATTTTAAAATAGAAAATGAAATTTACAAAAATAAATAAATTTTGTAAGCTGGATTAAAAATAAATGTGAATCAGAACCGAACAGATTTATCATTTACAAATGGTGTTTACAAATCTGTTTGGTTCCCGTTCGTATTTATTTTTATTCCAGTTTCTATTTAAACTGCCAGTTCAATATTTTATTGGAATAAGGTCCAAATTGGTCACTGAACGTAATCTGAAATTACAATTAGGTCGCTGAACGAAAAAAAAATGCAATTAGGCCACTGAACATGTATGTAATTTCAACTGATAGCAAGTTACCATCCATTTCTTCATGTTGTCTGCTTACATAGATGGTGAGTTGACATTTTTAAATAATTTTTAATAATAAACTTAAAAAGAAAAAAAAAAAAAAACGGGGTGGTCGGCGCCTCGGCGACCACCCCGTTCTCCCCTTTACCCCCTCCTTTGTCTCCACCGGAAACGAAGGAGGAGGGGGGAAGGGGTGGTCGGCGGCCACCCGGCTTTTTTTTATTATTATTTTTTAATTTTTAATTTTTATTCTTAAAGATTATTATTAAAAATTATTTAAAATGTCAAGTTTGCCAACTCACCTTCCACGTAAGCATACAACTTGATGAAATGGATGGTAACCTATTATCATGTAAATTTGCATACATTTGGGATATTTAGTAACCTAATTGTATTTTTTTTTTTAATTTAGTGGCCTAATTACATTTTCAGGTTACATTCAGTGGCCAATTTGAACCTTATTCATATATTTTTTCAGTTATGAATCGGAACAAGAACCATCCTACTATTTCATTTCGATTCTTAGTGTCCGGTTCGGTTTAAATCGAATCGTAGTCATTCCTACGTATAAGCAATAATTTTTTGGAGAAGAAAAATAAATGAAATAATTGTTTTAAGGATAAACATATTCACCAGGACTATGTGGTCCAATGGTACCCGGGTTGGATTTCCATTAAGAAGGTTGTGAGTCCAAACCTCGGTGGAGGCGTTATTAGCTCTTTGTGTTTCAGTAGGTTGAGAAAGTATATGAACAATGTAATAGAGCTAGTAGCATTAAAAAAAAAAGAGTTAATACCCAAAATCGTCCTCGACTATAGTGGTTTTTCTCAATTTCGTCCTAAACGACTTTGCTGACCTAATATCGTCCCAGACTTTTGTGTTTCGCTCAATTTAGTCCTCCATTTGTTATTCCGTCAAATTGGTGTTAAATTAAGGGACAATTCAGTAATGTCAATATTGATCTCTCTTTACTTTCAACTTGTGAAGTGAGAAATTCCTCTTTCTTGTACGAATTACACCCAGAATTACTCCCGGACCTGCAAATCAAATTTTATATTCGCAGTTTTAGGAGTAACTCTGGGAGTAATTCGTAAAAAAAAAAAAAGGATTTCGCAGTTCACATGTCTATGAGTAAAAAGATGTCAATATTAAAATTACTGAATTGTCTATTTATTTAACACCAAATAGACATAATAACAAATGAGGGACTAAATTGAGCAAAAATACAAAAGTCTGGGACTAAATTGAGCGAAACACAAAAGTCTGGGATGATATTAGGTCACCAAAGTCGTTTAGGACGAAATTAAGAAAAACCACTATAGTCGAGGACGATTTTGGGTATTAACTCAAAAAAAAAAAAAGGATAAACATATCCATTTAACATCAAAAGAAAAAAAAAATTCACTTTTAAAATAATTGAGGTGACACATGTGAATACATGAATAACTCAGGGCAAAAAGTGATATAAACATATAATTTAAAAGGAAAAAAAATGCCATTTTTCCCAATATCAAATGATACAAAACATATGATTATTTAATCAAAATTTTCCTTCTAGAACTATATTGAAACGCAGTATGAATATTCATATTATTTCACACTAATTAACATTGATAATATACGATACGTAAGTAGTATACAACAATATTACGTGTAACTTTTTATTTTCTATTAATATATTTTTCGTCACATTTTATATTTTTAGTTTCAGTTGAAGATGTTTGACTTTAGTTATTTATAATTTAATTTTTTATAATATTTAATTTAATATTAATACATAAATTATATATATAACTAAACTAAAAATCTATTACAAAATGTTAAAAGAAAATAAGTTAATAAAAATTAGGAAAAACAAACATTTTTAACCCCTAAACTATTTCATTTTTAAAAATTTGATCTTTGTAAGTTAATTTAAATAAATTTAGCCCTTAATTGTTTATAATGTTGCACTTTTAGTCCCTAGTGTGTAATTGTCAAACTTCATTATTATATAATGTTATTTTTATTATTTAATATCAATATTCACAGTTAAAAAAATGATGTTTCATAGAAAGAGTAAAACTTTAACCATTGATATTCATTCTAAATGGTAAAAGATAATCTCATAAATTTTCTAATAGAGTTTGACAATTATATCGCTCTAGGGACTAAAGGTGCAATATTATGAACAATTAATGAGTTAAATTTGTTTAAACTAAAAAAAAAAAAAATTGCAATTTTCATTTCTAAATTATAGGGTAATTATAAAATTCGTCCCTAAGTTAACATTGGCGTGCACTTTTCGTCCTTTCGTGCTCACTTTTCGTCCATGAGTTATACTAAAATTGCAAATTCCATCTCTATGGCGAAAAGTGCAACATCAATGATAACTTAGGTACAAAAACTGAGTATGACCAACACTTAAAGGGGCTAAAAGTGTTATTTTTCTTAAAAATAAATTTAATTAAATATGAGAGATCAATTGGTTACACAAGACTAGAGTAACATTTATCACTTCCTATATTCATTAAAAATTAAAAATTGAACAACTTCAGTCAAATTAATTGGATTACTTAAGTCCTCAGTTCTGATTAGTGTATAAAAATCTTCATCACCTATGATCGATCGAACTATATCTTATCACTGAAACAAGATTTTTAGGATCATCTTGAACTATTGAACTAATCTCGTTTTAAATGTGATTGATCCGCGTGGGAGCAGCCAAAATGAAGAGAGCTGACTTATAATAGGATAGGCTCTCTCTGTTGAAAATATGTAAAAAAAAAAAAAAAAAAAGATAAAGCACAGGGAACCCATATGATTATTCTTGCAAATCTGTCAAAAGCAAATCATCCCCGTGAGTCTTTTTGATTGAGATTTGAGTGAGACAGGAGAGAAAGGGGCCAACCCCCAAGCAGTCAAACTACAGTTGAAGATTCACAAACCTTCCCAGATCTTTAATATATTTCCTTTATGTTTATTTAATCTTTTAACTTCTGAAAGTTGACACTTTCCTGAGCCCCAGGAGTCCAAGCGGTTGAACAAAATCAGGTAAAACCCCATTCCCTACATTCAACTCTTTATAGTTTTTTATTATATAATAATAATCCTATTGAAATTCTGAGAAATTTCTTGACCTTTCTCTCTCCCTACATGAATGTTTTAAAGTTAAGGTGGTAACTTAGTCTGGGTACTCCTTAATTTTCTTGAATATCCATTCTTTTTCTATCTGAAATGTTAATAATTTCAGTTTTGGGACGAATCTTATTACCCTGATATTTTTTTTTTTTCCTTTCTATTAGTTTATTGTGAGGGAGCTGTTATTGAACATTGAATTGAGAGAGAGGAAGGGGGAAGAAGATGAATTGTTTGCTATACTTCAAGGATAGAAACAAAATCAGGTAAAACCCCATTGCCTACATTCAACTCTTTATAGTTTTTTGTTTTTTATAATCTTTTTGAAATTCTGAGAAATTTCTTAGACCTCTCTTTCTCCCTACTTGAATTCTTTAAAGTTAAGGTGGTAACTTAGTCTGGGTAGTCCTTAATTTTCTTGAATATCCATTCTTTTTTCTATATGAAATGTTAATAATTTCAGTTTTCAGATGAATCTGATAGTTTTTTTCCTTCTTATAGTTTATTGTGAGGGAGCTGAGCTGCTATTGAACATTGAATTGGGAGAGAGAAGATGAATTGTTTGCTATACTTCAAGGATAGAAACAAAGGAAAGGCACAAAAATCAGCACCAGTGTTGAAGGAGCAGAGCAAATCATCAGATATTTCAGGGGCGGCTGAAAGGGCCACGCGCTCTTCATGTTCAGCCTCGTCTCCCCGTAGCTTCTCTGAAGCCTACGAGGGGAAAGCTCAAAACTTGAGAGAGTTTTCCTTCAATGAACTTAGACAAGCAACCAATAATTTCTGCAGGTTACTTAAGGTTGGAGAGGGCGGTTTTGGGAGTGTGTACAAGGGAATGGTTAAGCCAGTTGATGGTAAAGGTGACCGAATCGTGGTTGCGATTAAGAAACTCAGCAGAGATGGTTATCAGGTAGATTATATATAGTCCTCATTTGTGTTTGGAATTTTTTCTTTCTAATGCATATAGAAGCTTAGGTGTCTATAGTGTAACCTGACTCTGATACCACTTGTTAGGATCGAACGTTTACGACTATGCCAAAAGCTATAGCTAGTAGCGAAGACACAACTTTATTTCCTTATACCGCTACACATTTTCGAGACACTTGGCCCTTTACTGGCCTCCGCCCAACAATTCCCTAGCCACTGCTGGAAATTATGGAATTTCCGACCACCTGAAAGTGATCTTAAATCAAATCGAAAGCAAAAAGTGGTCGGAAATGGCAACAAAGGTTTTTCCGGATACCAAAAGTGGTCGGAACAAGACTTTCGACTTGATTTAAGATCACTTTCAGGTGGCCGGAAATTACATAATTTCCAGCAGTGAGCCACCGGGTGCTAGACTTGACCTTTACTGGCCTCCGCCCAATACTAGGCTTCCTCTCAGTGTCCCTTTAAATTTGAACTGCTTAGTTATTCTCTGTAGGGACATAAACAATGGGTAGCTGAAGTTCAGTTTCTTGGGGTTTTGGAGCACCCGAATCTCGTAAAATTAATTGGATATTGTGCTGTGGACGGGGAGCGAGGCATTCAACGACTGCTTGTATATGAGTTCATGCCAAACAGAACTCTCGAAGATCATCTTTTCAGTACTGCTTATCCGCCTCTTTCTTGGCTAAGAAGACTGCAAATAGTCCTTGGAGCAGCTCTGGGCTTGACTTACTTGCATGAAGAATTGGAAGTTCAGGTTTCGTATCCATTTGTTTGAAGTTTTTGTGCCTCACTGCCTTTAATAGTTGCATTTATCGACTACTCCATAGATCAATATATGTTAATTCACCAGAAAAGAGTTTTAAAAAAATTTATAAAATGATTAGTGTGGCCAATTTAGTGATGTGTACACACTACATGTTATCACAAATACATTTACTTGGAAGTATATGGTTCTCTCTGACTATTCTTATGAACTAATGCTTTCTCTTTTATATTTGTTTTCAAAATAAAAATGGTTTGTAACCCTTGCCCTGTGCAAATGGCACAGGTTATCTATCGAGATTTCAAGTCATCGAATGTGTTATTAGATAACGATTTCAAACCAAAGCTCTCCGACTTTGGTCTTGCAAGGGAGGGCCCGACTGGTCTGCACACTCATGTTTCTACAGCGGTACGCTTTCTTCATCTATCTTTTGCTGACATGTAATATAAAAAAATGTATGAATTCCATAGTTTTGAGGAACACAACTTTTTTTTGGGCGACGAGGGAAACCTGCAGCCACAACCCGAGGGGTAAACCCTGCCTTGTGACCCTAGTCGTGAAATGACCACAAGGATAGTTTTGAGGAACACAATTTTTTTTTGGGGCGACGAGGGAAACCTGCAGCCACAACCTGAGGGGTAAACCCTGCCTTGTGACTCTAGTCGTGAAATGACCACAAGGATAGTTTTGAGGAACACAACTTTTTTTTAGGCGACGAGGGAAACCTGCAGCCACAACCCGAGGGGTAAAACCTGCCTTGTGACCCTAGTCGTGAAATGACCACAAGGAGGTAAACCAGTCTAGCTTGCTTATAGCTGACCGGCTCAAACCAAGAGGGTTGGTATTCGAACTTGTGACCTTGTGGTTACAAGTTTGTATCCTTAGCCATCTTGGCTGGGTTACCCCCACACATAACTTTGGTTGTAGGGACAAGTGATCCCTAACCTAAATAAATGTGTTTTGTTTCTGTTACCAGGTTGTAGGAACACATGGTTATGCAGCCCCCGATTACATCGAAACTGGTCACCTTACAGCTAAGAGTGATGTTTGGAGCTTCGGTGTCGTACTATACGAGATCCTATCGGGTAGAAGATCACTCGACAGAAACAGGCCTAGATCAGAACAAAAACTCTTGGAATGGGTTAAGCACTATCCTGCTGACAGTCGGAAATTCAGCACGATAATGGACCCGAGACTGGAAAATCAGTATTCACTAGGAGCAGCTCGAAAGGTTGCAAAGTTAGCAGATGCGTGTTTGTCCAAGAATTCAAAGGAACGGCCCAAAATGAGCCAAGTCGTGGAATCCTTGAAACAGATCATTCAGAGCTGTGGCGGCGAGAGTAGCCCCTCCTTGCACAAGAGTTTCGAGTGCGTGGAAGATGATCCAGTTGACGACGAGAAACCCAAGCAGATGGGACCCGCGGAATCAGCGAAAAGGCGGATGGCACAGTTGGCCAAGCTAAGTGAACATGTTGGTGGAATCAGCAGAAGAAGGTTTATGATGATGCAGAGAGCCAAAGTTACATGATAAAAGGCAAGCATGCATTTTTTTTTAATGTGAAAGCTTCAAATATGAAGGAAATTTGATGTTTCTATCAATCTGAAACAACGTTAACAAGACCACGAAACACATGTTCAAAGTAGTGTCACAGGTCTCAGGTTGTAGCCATATGTATGCCCATCTTGGCTGTTTGTTTATGTTGGGGCCAAAATTTTCTGAAATTAATGCAAATCCGCTTGTACAAAGTTGAACGACTTCAATGAGCTTGAGCTAAAATAACATCAAAATTCTCCAATATACTTTGATTAATAAGTTATATGTAGATGTAGTGAGATTTGATTGGAGAAATTGTTTATATTTTCTGTTGGGCGGAGGCCGGTGATTGGCCAAGTCTAACAATTGGTGGCTAGAAGATTGTTGGGTGGAGATAGATGAATGGTCAAATTCAGCATCCTGCCTTTTGAAAATGTGGTGGCAATCAGGTTATGGAGTAAAAAGTGTACATTTAAGGCTAGCAGGTAAAGTCGGTGATGGACTAAGTCTAATAAAACTATAATTTTTGGGTATTTTGACATAGTAGTAAGCGCTTGATTCTTAAACTTTTTCCGATCTAAAACCATTATAAGCGGGCACGTATTAAATGTCATTTTAACATGATGTAGGTATTGATTTATTTAGTCAAGACAATCTTATTCTTTTTTCTTTCTTTAGCCTAATTTTGATCGATAGATTTTATATATTAAGAAAATGTTATAAATTAATTTTTCATCTAAAATCAATATAAAATCAATATAAGCTGCAGATAGACACTATTTAGTTCTTAATTGGTGAAATAGTTAGCCTATCAGTTAATTTTGACTTATTTGATCACTATTAATTATTTGATTTGGTTAAAAAATTAATATAAGTGTTTGGTTAATTAGCTTTTTGTAACTTTAAAATGCTAAAATTAAAAAAGCTGCTCAAAGTAACTTTTTCGATTAACTTTTTGAGAAAAGAAATTATACCAAACAGTTAATTTACCAAACACCTTTCTACAATCAGTTAATGTTATCAACTAGTTAAATTCTCTAATTAACTCAATCAGCTAACAACTAACTGTCATTTGTCCTTTCAACATGATGTAAATATTGATTTGTTAGGTCAAGACAATCCTATTCTTTTTTTTTTTTTAATGTATTTTAACTGATAGATTATATATATATATATATATATATATATATATATATATATATATATAAATGAATAAAGAAAATGCTATACATGACATTGAGGTCCAATTAAAATATTCAAATAACGGCAAATTATAACGTGCACTACGGCGCGCCATGTCCCAAAACGGCGTCGTTTTGTACATTTTGCGTGTCTGCTGTTAACTTCTTTAAAAAAAAAAAAATTCTCATGTTTCGAATGTATAAAATTGTATAATAGAATCCACAAAATTGTATAATAGAATGTATAGAAAAATACATAATCTTTTTTGAAAGAATAATACACATAATCTAACATGATACGTAATACACATAAACTCTTAACATAATACACATAAATTTTTAACATAATACACATTAAAAGAAATTTTCATGTTTCGAATGTACAGAATTGTATAACAAAATGTACAAAATTTTATAACAGAATGTACAAAATTTTATAACAGAATGCACATAATTTTATAAACGCGTCAATTTCCTACACAACTTAATAAAACGACGTCGTTTTGGGAGATGCGGGACGCACATTACTATGTGCGCCGTGGTGCACGGGTATAACGATTGTCAAATAACAAATGTCCAACTTATAGGCCTAAATTTTTGAAATTCCACAAAAAAGTCATGAGTAAAAAGTCTAAAAAGAAGGCATATATGATATATTATAGAGGAAAGATTTTCATGCCACACTCCTATACTTATGTTTTAAAAGGGAATAAATGAATTCTTTTTAGAAGATATTATCTTTTTTTAAAAAAAAAATTCAATTGTTTAATATTACCAAACTATGCGTATCATTTTTAGTAGAATATGTAATGTTAAAGTGTTTTTTTTTTAGTACTATTGACCATTTTACATGTAGTATCTATTCAGATATACTTTCTCAACTTACTGATCTTCCATTTAAGTGAGTCTGCCGCTCGACTATAATGTCTCATGGACCAAGAAATTTTGCATACTATATATAACTCTTAACAACAAAAAAGGAAACAAAAACCACTAAGCTTTTGGGAGGCAAATCAAGCATTTTCCTGCCCAATCACAAGCTAAGACTTGGTTGAGTTGCAGGTGTTGTCACTTTTATACCAAAAGTAAGTTCAAGCTTTTGTGAAATAAATACGGAGTACTATTTACAAGTTTTTACAAATTTTATTTTTCTAACTTTATGAATATATTTACGAAGTAATTTTTCATTTGTCTATTATCTATTTTGAGTGTATAAATATATAAAATTTAAATCTATTTTTACTCAACTTAAATTAAAAGTGAATTTCACTACTCCAAATATACTTCAAAATAACTACATCAAATGTCATTTTTACTAATTTTTCCCAACAAATGTGATCTGATTGTATGTGTGCGGTGAATCAATCATTATATGGTGATATGCCACCAACATGTAAATTATCAAATTAACCTGTAATAGAATTAAAATGATACTTTAGTGTTGCTATAATGAACTTGTTTTATTTTATTGTGTGTATATATAAAATAAAACTGAATAGTAAAGATAATACAAATATGTATATTGTCAAATAAATGTGTTTTGGAATTAAAATGATATTGTAGTATTGCTATAATAAATATATTGTGTATATAAAATGAATCTAGAGATATGAAATATAATTAAAATAATACTTCAGCGTTACTATAATAAAATTAGTGTATGTGAAAATTAAAACTAAATCAGAACTCATACCAATTCCTAGTTGCTACACGGACTATGGTGTAAAATGAGTTCTACTATTTGTACTCCTAATTTTTTACTCCCTCACTTTTCATCTCTGATATGACATTAGTTAAAAATCATACAACAAGATATTAGCTCTTCAAAAAACCAACATAAAAATCCCTATTGGGGATGCTCTAAGCTAAGTATTAGTCTAAAGACTAAAACGTCTTCCTTAGTTATTTCCACCCTTTTTTATCCATTTCTTTAGTCTTTAGGGAGCCAAAGCGAGCAAGCAATGCCATTGGAAATGACAAGATCCGTTCAATTTATTGTTGCGTGTACTTTTCTTTGTCAGATAGCTAGAATTCTGATCACTATAACTAGAAAAAGGTTCATTCAAAAAAGATTTACGAATCCCTACGGCTTATATACAAACTTTTCAAGGCCCGCCTCATGGCACTGTTAGCCTATTGCCCTGGAACTAGTATTGGCAAGTGACATATTCTAATAATTACTGTAGCTCCCCAAAAGCTCATCTGACCCCCCCCCCCCCCCCCCCCCCCCGCTTTGATGTTTTCTTCTGCTGATTCAATAGTCAATTTTCATCAGCTTGTGGTTGAGAAGAAGGGGAAGTTTGAAAAGACTGACGGATATCAATTTGGGATCCTCATTTTGGTCAACCGGCCATGGAAGGAAGCCGGCTCGAAATATTTGATCTTAGGTGCATTTCTGCCTGGGGTGTGGGTACCTATTATTCGTCGGCGGTCCGGCGCACTCCTACGTGCTCCTCATTGCCCCCTACTTAAGAATCCGTTTTTTCTAAAGACTGCCCTCTCTCGGCTGGATCTTGGGGCTCTTTCTCTTATGAGAAGGTTAGTGTGTCTTTATTTCTTGATCCGTTTTGTCGATTTTTATCAGCTGTAGCAAAGAAAGAAACTTCATAGAATTCGAAATTGGGAGTTCTCCAACAGCATAGAGCTTGGGAAGCTCGGATCCGGTCAATAAGTCAAGTCAAGAATAATAATCTAATTGGACGAATGAAATCCACTCAGATAAACTAATCAATTTATTTATTTTAGGGATTCAAATTTCTTTTTCATCTTCTCAAAAAGTTGAATTCCCAATTTCAAGGGCCCCCGCATCTCAGCCAGACAAAGCGAGAAGATATAAATCACGATACCTCAATGATTAGTAGACATGACTAAATATTGAGTACACAAGAGGTCTGTCCACTTTAGACATAATTCCCACATTTTCGTCGACTAAATTTGAAGTCTCTTCTCTCAAATATTACCTAATGATTCCCTTTTTCTTTGCACTAGCTTCACGTCGTTGTTTCGTATACACCTACGTACTACTTTTTGTTTTGGAGCACCACTTGCCGTTGACGCCGACAACGGAGACTGCAACCCCTGTTGATAAGCACATCACATATTCACATTGAAAGAATAGAAAAATTATATGAGCTTATAACACTGTTAAATTAAATTAACTAATAGATTGGATTCAACTTAAATTTTTAATATAATTGGGTGTATGTACATTACAATTCATGAAATATAGTAGAAAAATTATTGCTAGCCTACATTTGGCGCTGTCAAATACTCTCAAATATTTTGTTGAGTCTAAGTGTACTTAGAAGGCCCTTAGGATTAGGGATTCACCATTTTAGGACGACGGGATTAACTCAATGGTTTAGTGGACAGTATATTTAAGATAAGAGACCAAAGTTCGAACTTCGACGACGGCAGTATGAGAATTATGTTCAAAGTGGGCAGATTTCTTGTGCGCACCGGCATTTGGCCCTGTCTACCAATCCATTGAGTCACTGTGATTTACATCATTCCACTCCGTCGGGTCGGAGTGTGAGGCCCTTAGGGTTGGAAATTCAGCCTTTATCACAAAAAAATGGGATAAGGAGAAAAAGAAAACTTATTACTAAAGTTATTCACGCACATTCATGAAATTTTGGGTATTGTAAAGCTTACATGACATTTTTTTGTTTTAGTTAGACCATGAGGTGTCTTGAGCAGACCTTCACTATAGCAAACACTTTTAAATTCGTACCATATTCAAATTAATTTCAGGCCACACCGAGCCGGCCTAATTAAATGACAAAAAGCTTATTAAATTGATTTTTTTTTATATGAAATAGGGGTTTGAACTCCCGACTTCTCTTTATGGATAAGATTGTGCGGTCACTCATATTAACCAAAGTGGTTACACTTGGCCTTCCTCTTTACCAATTTGACACGGCAAACCTGCAAATTTTTCAAATGCAGTGTCAAACTTGCAAACTTTTTAACTACAGTGTTAAACTTGCAAAGAGGAGAGAGAGGACATTTATATTTTATTATTACTATTATTATTATTATTATTATTATTTGAAAGAGAAGAGAAAATTATAGGTATGTAAAGTGAATAGTGAATAATTGTCTATTTAGTAATGTGACATTTTGAAAGCCAGAGAGAATTGCATGGTTTAAAGATAACCTAATTATATATGTTTAGGCTTTTCGTGGGTTGAGGGAGAATCTTCAACTGCGGCTGCTCTGCATTGAATTTGCTACTGCTCAGATGACCTGCATCAACCTATCACCTAATATATATATATATATATATATATATATATATACCATGATTTTCTAGAACTGATGATGATGAAGAAGAAGAATGATCCTCAAGTATGAAATCTTTAATTTTCGATATCACTAATAAAACTCACAGATCTCGACACATTTGTAGAGCTCACAATTCCAAGATCTGAATTGAAGAAAAACAATGAATCCCAAAACAAAAAAAAAAAAAAACAGATACAAAATTGTGTGATGGAACAATCTGGATCTCATCTGCTGCAGCAATCAATCAAGCTCTACAGTAGAAGGAAGTTTTCCATCATATTATTGAGCTAGGATTGGGTCATGGGAAAACTGGTGATGACCTCACTTCAGATCACCCTTTCATTTTCCTCTCTTTTTCCCTCATTTTTATAGATAGATAGATGGATTTTGATCACGCCACGGCAACAGACCCTGTTCTTACGGCCTTGTTGTTCTCAGCTTCTTTGGAGGCCGACCCTTTTGTTGATTGTGTTTTTGGTGATGATTTCTTGGAGCAAGAAGAAGCAGAAACTCTCCATCTCTTCTCCTCCGCTTCATCCATATCTATCTGTTCTTGCCTGCATTCTTCGCTACAAAATGGAGTATTCCCTCTGCACAAATTTCATTCAATTCATTCAATACTTCAATTCAAAGCTATCTATCTCAACTAAAACTCTAAATTTATCATTAAAAAAAAAAAAAAAAAAAATCGGTAGCTAGCTAACCTGTACATGAAGATATCACTGTTATGAGCCAAGGTTCTCTGGCAAAGAGAGCAGGCGTCAAGAAAATGGGGCTGGTAATTGTGTTCTTCACATCCGATGTAGTCTAGAGCTAATCCTGACCCCATTATATTGATATGATCTTCTTTAAAAAGCTAAGGATTTTTTTTTTTTTTTTAAATTTCGTATGTAGTAGTGAACTAAACAGATGAGAGATGCAGAAAACTTGTGTGCTGTTGCGGTGCAGAGAATTGAAGAAAGTGAGATTGTGGGAGGGAGGAGGCCAAAGAAGCAATATATAAAGGAAGATGGGGGGGGGGGGGGGGGGGGGCATTGTTTAATACTCCCTAATTTTTTATTCACCTCATTAATGTACGCCATTGAATTGCCTATTTTAACACATTAATTAATGAAGTAGCAAATCATTCTTCCTAAAAGGTAAAATTTAAATCTGAACACAGAGCCTAGATCTCAGTGTGAGATATTGGTAAGACTTGATCCTTGGTCATTCTTCTCAAATTTTATATATGTGACTAACTAAGTTGCACATGCAAGCATGAAGTAGCAAATCATATGCTTACTATTGTCTGTCTTTACAATTAACTTTCTGTCTAGAGTTCTATTATATAGACACTGATAAGTTTTTTTTTTTTTTTTTTTTTTTTTTTTTTTTTTTTTTTTTTTTTTTTAATGTGAGTTTCGATTACAAATGTCTACATCAAAATTCTTTTTATGTGTGAGAATAAAAATTAAGAGTAGAAAATGAGAGTACATATAATATTTTACTTATGTAATAGTAAAAATAGAGTTTTATGACTTTTATTTTATTGCTTGATAAGTTTTTTTTTTTTTTTAATTGAAAAAAATAAGGAAATGTATTATTAAGTGCTTAAGCATCTGGGGTGGAACATCAATCTACTCACCTTTTTCCGAAAGGAAACTCGAAGCTCTAGCAATAGCATGAGCCACAGTGCAAACCGATCCTCCAACCTTTGCTTATACTTGAGCTACTCCGAAGATAAGGTGATTTCCTTTGCTATTTAATTTGCTCATGACTTTTTTCCAAAATAAAATTACATGAAATACATGAATAGGGCATCTAATTTTTACATCCTAAATTACACTTGTGGCTCATCAAAAATCTATTTACAATTATTCCTAACACAAATATAATCAAATTTATCATCTAAGAATTACACTAATTACATATAAGATTTATGAACGTTATAATATAACTTTTAATTTTTTTAGTTTAGAAATATGATTTTTTTTAAAGATCAATATTGTAAAATTTCATTTAATCTATAACTTGGTGACCATCAGACCATTGAATTATTTGTGTTTATTACATAACAGTTTTTTACTATGTGGTAGTCTAGTTTATTATTATTATTTTTAAGAATAATGCTCAAATAGATTATCGAACCGTACGAAAAAAAATGTAATTGAGCCATCTAACTCAAACAAATACAATTGGGTTCATAATTCAAAATCATGCAATTCAATTAAAGCTAGTATGTTCTATCAACCTCGATTGACATTACGATGACCTCTATTAAAAAATTATTATTTTTAATTTGTTGTAATATTTTAAAGAAAATTAAATTTTAAAAAACCCCTCATCTCGGATCGGATACAATTATACAAAAACCATCTCTTCCTCTACAATTGGGGATGAAAAACCTTTCTTTGTCTCCAAACAGAGACTAAGAGGTTTCTTCATCTCCAGGCTAGAGATGAAAGTCATTTCCTTGTCCATGACCTGGATACGAAGAACTATTCTTCATCTTTAGTCGGAGAAAAAGAGAAAAAGATGTTTTAAATTATCATTTTAAATACAGGTAATGGTCATAGCAGCTGAGACCGATAGAACATGTCAATTTTAATTTAATTGAACAAATTTAGATTGTTCAGGTATGTAATTATAATTTTTTTTTTTTTTGAGTTAGATGTTCAATTTTGCATTTGCGCATACATTTTGGTCACCTATTTAAGCATCATTTAAAAAAAATAGGAATAAGGTTCAAATTGGTCACTGAATGTAACTTGAAAGTGCAATTAGGTCGCTGAACGAAAAAAATGCAATTAGACCACTAAACACCTCAAATGTATGCAATTTCACCTGATAGTATGCTACCATCAATTTCATTAGATTACCTACGTGGATGGTAAGTTGGTATTTTTAAATAATTTTTAATAAAAAAAATGCGAGGCGGCCGTTGGCCATCCCTTCCCCCCTCATTTGTCTTCATCTCCGGTCGGAGACGAAGGAGGAGGGGGGTGGGGGTGGCACCCCGTGTTTTTTTTTTAAAGTTTATTATTAAAAATTATTTTAAAATATCAAATCACCATCCACATAAGCAGGCAGCCTGATGAAGTGGATGGTAACTTGCTATCAGGTAAAATTGCATAATTTGGATGTTCAGTAGCCTACTTGTATTTTTTTTTTTTGTTTAGTAGCCTAATTGCAATTTTTTTTTTGTTCAGTGGCCTAATTGTCTTTTTTATTGTTCAATAGCCTAATTGCACTTTCAGGTTACGTTCTTTGAACAATTTGAACCTTATTCCAAAAAATTATATTTACATTTTTCAAAATAGAATTACTATTGTGTTTGTTTGTTTTTCAAATTAGAGCTTAATTACTTATATCGTGGAGTATGTAATATGTAATATGTTAGTCTCGTGTTTCATACTCAATAACAAACTTCGAGTGTGTTTGGAAATTGGAACTACTAATAAGATAGCAGTTAAACAAATAGTTTTTAGCATTTTGCTTGGTAAGTGTATTTTTAGAAAGGTTGAAATGCGGAATAACTCTTTAGAAGCTACTAAAAAGTAATGTTCAACTTCCAAGAAGCTACCTTTCATTAATAATAATAATAATACTTTTCTCCTTTTCCTGCACATACCTCTTTCTTTTATCTCTCTCTTTAAATTATTTTTCGGGAAAATTGCACTTTTTTCCCTGTATTGTTTACTAATAGCACATTTTTTCCTTGTATTGTTTATGTAACCACTTTATCCCCCTCAATTGTTTTTAAAGTGGCTATTTCCCCCTCTCCGTTAAGTAAGTGTTAGGGTTGTTAAATATTAGGGTAAAAATGACATTTCACTTATTATTATTATTATTATTATTATTATTATTATTATTATTATTATTATTATTATTATTATTATTCTTATTATTATTATTATTATTATTATTATTAATGAATGACCCCACCCAACACCCCTAATATACTGCAGTACTCAACGCCTAAAATGCACAGTTATATTGTAAACCAAATTTATTACTAATAATAATTGTTGGTTTTTGGGTTTTCGGGCCCAAGGAGGTCCAACACAACCTTTGGCTGGAGGATACACCTTTCATAATAAGGCTGCTAAAATAGAAGAAATATGACTCGATGATTTTTACGTGGAAACCGAAAGGTGAAAACCACGGGCCTTTTTGGGCGGTGCCAAGCCTAATTCCACTATGTATTTTGTAGGTGTCTTTGTACATGTTGTATGGCTATTTTGTATATAGAGATGGAGTATGCTTCTTTTGGTAGAATGGAGTCTTCTTGATAACCTTCTTGTTGTGTATGTGAAATTGCCTTCTCTTGGGAGAGTGGTGTAGTATTCTATGAGAGAAAGGATGGTGAGTGGGAGGATAATATTTGGGAGAGTCCTCCCATGTGTGTAGGTGAATGAGTGGATCATCCCCCTTTCTTCTTGTCTTCTCCTCCTTTTATAGCTAGCCCATCCCCAAAAGTGTCCGTTGGACCATTTAGTAGGGTAGTTAATAGGTATTAACTTGGTTATTAGTGGGGTAATAAGTGGGAGACTTAATAGGTAGCCTTTATTTGGGGGGTTATGGATGAGGTAGATAAATAGGACTTTTAAGGGTAGATAATTAGGAATAACGGCTAGTTAGTCCGACCCTCTACCCGTGCCGACCTCCGGGTCGAGCCGACTCCTCGGTTTGGCTCGTATCTCTTTTGGGCTTGCTCCATTTTCTTCTTGGGCTTCCCTTCTTTGTCTGGGCTTTATCTCTTTTCTTCTTGGGCCCCGAGCCCACGGGGTTCACACCCCATCAACTAGTCCCTCACTTTTCTATGTCTCGTGCTTAGCAGGGCATGGAAAAGTATATTGTCTTGCCTCAAAATTTCCTTTATTAGGCCCCTCGATTTTTTGCCGACTCTTTATTCAACATTCTACATGACTCCATCCTCATGACTTCTCTTTGTTTGCCGTATGACCGACTGCTTCAGTGGATGTGACCTTCTGGCTCAGAGCCCCTTTCTCTTTAGCCGTCGAAGTGAATCTCGGCTGTAACTTTTTCTTTCTTTAATAAACTTCTAAGGGTTCGGACCCTCGATTCCTTCTTTATTCGCCGAGTCCTTCAGTCGAGGCGACTCTTCGGTGGTAGCTCCTTTTCCCTCTAGAAATGTCTAAGGGTCGGAACCCTTGTTTTTTTTCTCTTTTTCTCTAGAAACGTCTAAGGGTCGGAACCCTTGTTTCTTTTCTCTTTTTCTCTAGAAACGTCTGAGGGTCGGAACCCTTGTTTCTTTTCTCTTTTCTCGTCGAGTCCCTCAGTCGAGGCGACCCCTGTAGGCTTTTTCTTTACTTAGAAACGATTTAGGGTCAGTGCCCCGTTGTTTCTTTAATTTCTCGCCGAGTCCCTCAGTCGAGGCGACTCCTTTTGGCTTTTTCTCGGAAACGACTAAGGGTCTGGGCCCTTGTTTCCTATCTTTTCTCGCCGAGTCCCTCAGTCGAGGCGACCCTTTTGGCTTTTTCTTTCTTAGAAACTGTTTAGGGTCAGTGCCCCATTGTTTCTTTATATACTCGCCGAGTCCCTCAGTCGAGGCGACTCCTGTAGGTTTTTTCTCGGAAACGACTAAGGGTCTAGGCCCTTGTTTCCTATCTTTTCTTGCTGAGTCCCTCGGTCGAGGCGACCCATTATGCTTTTTCTATCTCAGAAATAGTTTAGGGTCAGTGCCCCATCGTTTCTCTCAATACTTGCCGAGTCCCTCAGTCGAGGCGACTCCTGTAGGCTTTTTCTCGGAAACGTCCAAGGGTCTGGGCCCTTGTTTCCTATCTTTTCTTGCTGAGTCCCTCGGTCGAGGTGACCCATTAGGCTTTTTCTATCTCAGAAACAGTTTAGGGTCAGTGCCCCGTCGTTTCTCTCAATACTCGCCGAGTCCCTCAGCCGAGGCGACTCCTGTAGGCTTTTTCTCGGAAACGTCTAAGGGTCTGGGCCCTTGTTTCCTATCTTTTCTTGCCGAGTCCCTCGGTCGAGG